GAAGTGGATGTAGGAGGCCGCAAATGTGGAGCCTTCATAGACAACGGATCCACGTGAAATTACATAAGTCGCGATTGTTTGGAAAGGCTGCACCTCCAGGACCGGGTATGGCACCTTAGTAGACCAGTAGCATCTACTTTGGCCAACAAAGAGCGCATGATTGTCACAGACTACATCAAGGACGTAGTCTGTACCTTCTCCTATGGAGGAGGAGAGCTTAACCATAAGATCTCGTTCTTGGTTAGCGACGACTTGCCATTCGAAATGTTGCTAGGCATGTACTACCTCGAAGTTGCTAAGCCCCAGTTCGACTGGGATATGAAGGTGCTCAAACAAAAGTTGCCCGATGGCCGAACCGTCAGATTGACTAAGTTCAAGGCCAGCCGTATTGTAGATACCTATGGYTGCTTGTGTGCATCAACATTCTACAACTATTACAAGCAAAACAAAGAGGAGGGTATGTACCTTGTTTATGTCTCCGAGAAGGGGGAGGCCGTTAAAACACCCCCAGAGATAGAACGCGTCATTGGTAAGTTCCCTGATCTGTTCGAGGAGCCCACAGGAGTTGTTGATAGGGAAGTCGTCCACGCTATAGAAATCATTCGAGGGAGTAAAACCCCAAAGGGAAGGATCTATAGGATGGCCCCTACCGAGTTAGATGAACTTCGGAAGCAACTCAAGGAGCTAACAGAGAAGGGATGGATTCGGCCTAGTACTTCCCCTTATGGATCACCCGTGCTATTCATTCCGAAGAAGGGGGGTACTTTGAGGATGTGCATTGATTATAGGGGCCTCAATGCCATCACGGTGAAAAACGCAGAGCCTCTACCTCGCATAGACGACCTACTGGATAGGGTGCAGGGATGCAAGTACTATACAAAGATAGATTTGAAATCCGGATATCACCAGATCACAATAAGACCTGAGGACCAACACAAGACAACTTTTCAGACTCGTTATGGTCTGTATGAGTTTGTAGTGATGCCTTTTGGTCTTTGCAATGCGCCGGGTACATTCCAGCACGCTATGAGTCGGATCTTCCAAGACCATTTAGATAAGTTTGTCGTAGTCTATCTAGACGACATTCTGATCTTTAGTAAGTCTGCCGAGGAGCACGCACAGCATGTTGAGACAGTACTCTCACTCCTATGACAGCACAAGTATAAGGTCAACTTAGAGAAGTGCGAGTTTGGCCGCACTAAGATACTAAACTTGGGTCATGAAGTATCCGCGGAAGGGATTAGGCCGGAAGATGCGAAGGTGGCTAGTATTCGAGACTGGCCACGACCTCAGACAGTCACTGAGGTCAGATCATTCTTAGGAATGTGCGGCTACTATAGGAACTTCGTCAAGAACTATTCTACAGTCGCCTCTCCTTCGACTGATCTAACTCGACTTGACACACCGTGGGACTGGAGTGATGATTGCGATGGTGCTTTCAAAAGATTGAAGCATGCACTCATGAATCATGAAGTTCTCATGGTTCCCGATCCGCAAAAGTCATTCATAGTGACCACTGACGCAAGCCAATACGGCATTGGCGCAGTGCTGGCTCAGCAGGATGGGAAAAAGTTGAGACCGATTGAGTATATGAGTAAGAAGATGCCATCGAAGAAGTTGGCTAAGTCCACCTACGAAAGGGAACTCTATGCTCTCTACAAGGCACTTGTCCATTGGAGACAGTTCTTTTTGGGAAGGTTTTTCTATCCGGGGACTGATCATCAGACCCTCAAATGGATCAAGACTCAACCGGCTCTTTCTGATGCACTCAAGCGATGGATTGAGGTCATAGACCAATATGACTTGAGTACCTGAAGGGAGAGTATAACAAGGTTGCCGACGCGCTATCCCGTAGAACAGACTACCTAGGTGCGCTAGTTTCTGATTTTGGCGTATCTGAAGAAGTAACTCAATCATTGGTGCGAGCCTATCAGGAAGATCATGTCACGATGGACATCGTTCGCAAACTTCAGGCAAAAGATAAGGCCACAGAAAGCGAGTTTGTGATGGTGGATGGGCTAATCTATCTTGATAAGGCC